GTGTGTGTGGATGTGTGTGTGTGTGTCTGTGTGTGTGTGTGTGTGTGTGTGTGTGTGTGTGTGTGTGTGTGTGTGTGTGTGTGTGTGTGTGTGTGTGTGTGTGTGTGATCCCCCAACCCACCCCCATGGAAAGACTAAAAGAGACCACTTTTGGAGGTGTGTGTTGGGGGTCCTATAGTTCTGTGTTGTGTGTGTGTGAAAACTAATCCCTCTTTGGTGATTCCATCTATCAAGTGTTGGGTAAGGGACCAAGGGACCCTCAACCCTAACCACTCTGCATCGACGTGTTTCTACCCCAAACCGGAATACCGTGTCCTAACGTGGTGACAAAAGGAACCGCCCTTCAACCTGCAGCCTCCCCCAGCCTGCCACGCCGCAGGTGTCTGCTGGAACTTGGTCAGCCAATCCTTGGTAAAAGACGACTGGGCTTCCCTGAAACTTTATGTGTTGAACGAACCGTTGGTTTTTCATATAAAGCCAAGGTATTTGACCCGCAGTGGGCTCCGCTTTTGGGGATGGCAGGTTCATTCTTCGACACTTGACACCCACGCGCGCTTCTTGACGAAACACAGGGAAGGGAATGGTGGGTAGAGTTGGCTTGGGGCTCAGCAATGGGCTAAAGCTCCCCAACAGGAGCACAACGAGCACGGGCACATTGCCGAGGGCGCGTCATCTGCTTCCTTCTTGGTGCCGGGGTCTGAGGAAGCGTACAACGCCTGGCACGCAAACGCTGCTGCAGTTGTTGCTTGCGCACATTTGTAATGCACGCGGGTGTCTTCCTCCGGTGTCGCAGGCCTGGAAAGAACCGCAGATGGGTTTAGCCTCCAATCACCTGCATGCATGTGCATATAGCCATTGTGCATTTGTGTAAGTATCCCAATAAACATTTGCATGTGTATGTGTAAATGATATAGACAGAGAGATAATATATATATATATATATATATATTATATGTGCAAATATATAGATATATACAGCAAGGATACTGTAACTATATCTATATCTATTCATGTATTTATGTTATGCCTGTATGCGGAAAACATCTTTTGCTGCAATGTGCGCACATATGCATCGTTGCATATTTGCACGTACTGCGTATTCATGCGGGCTGTATGCGCGTCGGTCCGTCTGTCCGTCCGTCCATCCACCCACCCATCCAGCACCAGGTGTGTGCATCCATACGTCGTGATGTGTAGACATGAAAGGAATGCCGTCTCGATGTTCTTCATGGAACTCAAAGCCCCTGCACCCCCCCGACCCCCCAACCCTCCCTGGAAAGCTTCTTGGATCAGAAAATACTTTCCGGTGGGTTGGGGGACTGCCTCTAAGCTACTCTAAGCCTCCAATCCAATGCCTGCCTGCGGTTCGGTTGCAATCAGCCCCTAACACCAAACTCGGATGAGCTTCCTAAGATGGTGGACTTGGGCTTGGTTGGCCGCTCGCACGGAAAGTCAAGGCTACCAACCACTGGCGATCCAAAGCCCTCTTGAGAGCGACTAAGCGGCACCCCGTTGAAGCAACCTGCATGGATCACCCTGCCTGCAAGGCAGGCAGAGCCTGCTCCATCACCCAACCTGCAGGAGAGAGCGGGTGGTTCCGTCGATGCACGGGAGCTGAACCCCAAAACTCAAATGAAACTAGGATGCCCCTTGAATGCCATGGTGTCTGGTCATTTGTGGCATTGAGGAAAATTGCAAGAGAGCCCCAGCAGAGGACCGCCTGGTAATGCCAAAAGGGCTCGATCTGTGCGAGCTGCCTAGCATCGCCATCCTGGTCTCGAGCCTATAGCAGCGTCGCCCCAAATTCTCCACACTGCTTTCCAAATGGGCAGAGCAGCTTGATTGTGCTTCATCTGTTGCTCAACTGTCCATGGCTGGCAGTGCAAGCACAAGCACAATCCCAAACCAAGAATGTGTGTCCAAAGGTCTCGCTTCTTTCTGAAGCGGCGCAGAGATCGCATCCAAACGCATGATATGCTGAGCAGGGCAAACTAAGCAGACCGTGCAAGCCACGTCAGAAGCCGCCGTCACAGATCCGTGTCGGCAATCAGGGCGCCGAAGTGGCTTTGGTCCTAGCATGTTGACACCAGCATGCGGCACGCTCGATCACGCATCGCTCGATCACGCACCGCCATCGGCGGGGCAAAAACTTGGTAGAAGTAGCGCCGAGTCACCTTCAAAAAGGAAACCCATGGAAGCTGTCTCGAACGCTGCGAATGGCAAGCTCATTTGCTCAGGCTGTCACCGAGCAAAAGAGAGGAATTTCCCTGGGACCTTCCTCACGTAGGCCTGCCCCGTCGCCGGCCATTTTAGGGCTACTTTTGTTTCCCCTTACCAAAAGGAACATCAAACAAGTAGCAACCGAAAGATGATGTTTCAACAGGCAATGGGAAATGGGTGTGTGTTTTTTCATGGTAACCCTTCTTGCAGCTTTCAAAGCTGCAAGCCAGGAGGAGAACCCACCCACTTTGAGAGCCTCCAAACTTATGTGGCACATGCCCAAATCGAGGGACTTCTTGCAACAGCCGATCTTTCAAACAGCCTGGACAAATCATCGAACTCCTCGATGAGTTCCACCTGAGCCGAAATCTCCCAACCCCATCCCAACTGAGACACGCGGAGGCCTCCATATACCCTGCACCTGGGAAATATGATTCTACATGTCTATATGCTAGTTCCCGCATGCAACTCCTGTCTGAGCATGGGTCATCTATCCCTGGGTTTAAACAGCCTTCTACAAGCCCTTGCAATCCAAAACCTGGGATTTGAACATATACATCCTGGGATGTAGACATCTAAGCAGAACGATGGATCGTTGAGAAAGAGCGAAAAAAGAAGTGACAAACAAAGAAAGTACGGAGAGAAAAGAGACAAAATCTTAATGCCTATCACAACTTGTCAACGAGCAATGCAAGAGATGTACAACGATGGGGGTTGAAAGAAAGCCTCCAAAATGCATCCAGAGTTGGATGAAGGGGGTAGCGGGGCAGAAGACATGGGGAAAGAGTTGTCCCCTCAAGAGTTGGCAGAGTTGTAAACCCCCCGCCCCACCCGCCCCTCCCCTTCTTACAAACAATGTGGAAGTTTGACAGCACTCGCTCACACAAACCCTACAAACAGTTTGGCAACAACCTTCCTGCAAAGATGCAGGCAACACAATCTCCCTGCAGCAGCACAATCTTCCTACGAGCATGAAAGCATGCATGCATGAAGTGCAAAGTGAAAAGTTCACAAAACATGTTTTCTCACCTGAGATCCTTGCAAGAAACAACACTTAACAGCAACACAACCTCACCATTGTGCGCGCAGCAACTTAGAAGCTGGAAAATGAACCTGAATTGTGGCTTTCTACGCATCACTCCCGAGTAAAATTAGATGTCCCTCAAAACCAATATAGTTTTGTTCCTCTTATCGTTTTGCAGCTGTGTTTAATGGAACTCACCGGGAGAAAGGCAAAACACGTGAACTGTGGCATTGCATGAGGGCAAAGGTTGTTGTGTGTTTTTTGTTGTGGGAGGGTCCTGCCAAATCATATACATATAGAATGAAGTATGATTACCACAACTATTATCTTAGCGATTGTCATTATTATTATTAATGTAATTGTGTCTAGTATGTCTCTTTGTTGTTGATATAGTTACTGCTACTTTTGTCGTTACATGCCGTACATGAAAAGGCCAATCAATCGCTGCAAATGATGGACAAGCAAACTGATGAAACCAATTGGGCGGCCAAAAATTGACATGGCAAAGCGAATGGCACGGACAGGTTTTGCAAAACAAAGCGCGCCTGGCGATTGGAGAGGCTTCTGGGCAGCTGCCTTGGATCCAATCCGATGCCAAGCCCCGCATGCGTCAACCTACCTGCTGCAGCATCGAAACGTTGCGCAGACCACAAGCACAGCCGAGGGGTGCGCTCCGAAAATTTGTGGAATGGAAGCCGGAAACATTGCCATGTCCCAATCTTAATTTGCCGGTGATCCCGAATCAAACGCTCAGAGCCGGCCCCCCTCCCCTCCCCCCCTCAACAACAAAAGAAAGAGCCCCAAACTCCACGGATTCCTCCCCCCTTTGGGCCAAAGCGCAGCAGGAAGTGGAGCACCAAATTCCCCCGGCCGCCCGCGGGCCGCGGCGGGCCTCTGCCACGCAGCACTGTGGTGGCCCCAGGCTGGGCCGGCGCCTTGGCGTGAACTTGCAGAGGGGTACTCCCCAAACAAATGGGGCGTAGAGGGGGGGAGGGAGGGGGAAGTGGACGTCCCCTTGGCTTTTGTCTTTGAAATACAAAGACAAATGGCTTCTCAGAATGGCGGTTCCAACTGTTTGGGTGCTTTTTAAAGGGAAACAGAAAGGACACAACCCATTTCAATTTGGAGTTGTTTTTTGTGGCATTTTGGGACACCCAAATGAAGTTTGCCTTTTCCCACTTGTATTTTGAGGGGACGTATACGAAACTGAACCCTTCCTTTTCGCGCCCCAAGGTGATGTTGAAGTTTGGTTTCCTTCCGGGCAGTTCGTGTGTACCATCCATTCTGGGCTACTGTGAGCGACAGGTGTCCACCACTGATTGCCATCAAATTGATAAGAGGAGGAAGTAGATAACCTGCATGGGGAGTCTTGAAGCAAGCCAACCGAACTGCTGTAAGCATCACCCACCAGATTGATGATCATTCCGGAACGGCCTTCCAAAAAAAGGCGATGATTACTGTAAGTCATCAAGGAGGGGACTAAAAGCACATACGTCATACACGGGTATGAATTCTAATAGGGGAACCCTGGGTCAGCATCGTTTAGGTGCCGATTTATGTCCACCAACCCCACTTAGGTGGGCCCCAAGCATAGCCACAGACTCCGCTCCCGGACGCAAGCGAGCCGAAACCAATTCGTCGCCTGGATCACCAGTCGCTCACTGCTCCCCTCAAGGGTGGGGATGGACACCTCAGCCGCAAACCCACGGGTCACAATAGCAACGCCTCAAACTGAAAGCCCCCCCTCAGGGTTTGCTGGAGGGGTGTAAAGCAACCTGCTTAGGCTTACGGCTTTCGCCCATGCGCCTCGCCGCCCAGCAGTGCTTCTCGTAAGGTCAGCGGCACGTCCAGGTGAACATCATTCTCGAGCAATCGAAACCTCCGAGCATGAGGCGTTCAAAGTTCTTGGCGCAAAGCAACACGAACCCTCGTTCGGAAACTTCTGTAAGCGTTTCCCAGTCTGCCACAACACACGCCTTGGCTTTGGGCTATGCCGGGCTATGCCCCATAGCCCCCTCCCCCCCCCCCACCAGCTCGACATGCACATTCCGCGAGGCTGTGCCTCTCATGCGGCAAAACCTTGACCTGCACGAAGAGATGCCCCGCCTGCCGTGGTCACAGAAACTTGGAGATTCGTTTGGGTGCCGCTTTCGAAACGGGGAGGACCTCATCCATGAAAAAAATGCGTGCCAAGAGGCGCAAATGAGCCACTCCTTACCAATTACCAGTGGAGGGAGGGTGATCAAGTCTAGCACGCTGCTCAAGTCATGGAATACAACTCGCCCAACCCACCCTCCGCAGCCCTCGGGGATCGCCAAGCTGGGTCGTCCAAACTACAGACGAGGCGATTTGCTCAAGGCGGCAAAAAAGGGGAGGGTCGGTCGGGTCAATGATCGGACGCCAAGGTGTCTACATGAAGGACAGACAAATTCTCAAGTTTGTGTGGCGCACAGCATGGTAATCCAGCGCAAATTGCTGATTGCAGCGCGGAAATCACCCCCAAAGGCTGAACACTGAAAAGTTGCAAATCACCCGCCGCCGCGAACATGCAGAATGTATCAACTCTGTGGCATAATTTACGTGCCCCTCAGACAGCCAACCAGTTTAAGGTCGCCTTGCCGAAAAAACGGGGGGCTAAGCCAGCGCAACCACCCGCCCCACGCTGCCCTTAGAACCGGAAAATGGCTGGAGCCAGCAAATTTGGTTCCCCGACCCCAGATCCTGAAGCCCAAGCCTTGCCGCCGTGACACCCTGCATGACCAGCGCCTCGCCGCGGACGCGCGAAAGGCACCCTGTTCCTTTGACCCGGCCCCAATAAAGGCCTCGGAAAATAGTTCGGGCAAAGTTGGGGTGCCTTCCAAATATTTCTTGACGCTCCAACCGCGACGGGTTCAGATCTCCAAAGCGCCACTTTGCTCAGCCAAATAGGCTCACCTGTCTTCTCACTGTTGGGTGAAGCCCCGGCACCAAAGCCAATGACTCTTTCTTTCAGGCGATCCCGGGCAATGTTTCTAAGGGAAAGCCGGCCGGCCATCTCAGGGGATCCTTCATGTGTCAACTTGCGGTTTGTCAGGGCTTTGGCCAAAACCACGCGGGGCTTCCCATTGCCAGACCTCATCCAAGGAGCAAAAATCAGCAGGAAGCCAATCAGAAGCCCATGTATTTGAATTTTGTTGCAGTTTTTGTGGTTGTCCTGTGTGTGTGTGTGTGTGTGTGTGTGTGTGTGTGTGTGTGTGTGTGTGTGTGTGTGTGTGTGTGTGTGTGTGTGTGTGTGTGTGTGTGTGTGGTGTGTGTTTGTGTGTGTGTGTGTGTGTGTGTGTGTGTGTGTGTGTGTGTGTGTGTGTGTGTGTGTGTGTGTGTGTGTGTGTGTGTGTGTGTGTGTGTGTGTGTGTGTGTGTGTGTGTGTGTGTGTGTGTGTGTGTGTGTGTGTGTGTGAGTGTGTGTGGGTGTGAGTGTGTGTGTGTGTGTGTGTGTGTGTGTGTGTGTGTGTGTGTGTGTGTGTGTGTGTGTGTGTGGGTGTTGTGTGTGTGTGTGTGTGTGTGTGTGTGTGTGTGTGTGTGTGTGTGTGTGTGTGTGTGTGTGTGTGTGTGTGTGTGTGTGTGTGTGTGTGTGTGTGTGTGTGTGTGTGTGTGTGTGTGTGTGTG